TCGTAGATCCGTGGTCGGCCCCGAATGCCTTCAGGTCGTCGAGCACACACTTCGGCCAGTTCTGCTCCTGTCCCCCCCTACGTCGCTTCTCCCCCCCTGCCAGTTCGCCGACCATCAGTCGTTTCGGGAGTCGCCCGTCCGGCTGCCTTATNCACCGCCGCATGCCAAGGTACTCCCCCCTCCACCTTCGCGGCTTCCGTCCGCTGTAACTTCGGTGCCGTGCCTTTCGGTACCGGGATTTCGAGACAACATGGATCGGTTTTCGTAGATCCGTGGTCGGCCCCGAATGCCTTCAGGTCGTCGAGCACACACTTGGGCCAGTTCTGTTCCTGTCCCCCCCTACGTCGCTTCTCCCCCCCTGCCAGTTCGCCGAACATCAGTCGTTTCGGGAGTCGCCCGTCCGGCTGCCTTGCCAATGCTCCCGCGAACAGTAGGCGTCGTTGTCGGATCGTGGCTTCAACGCTCTGGCATTCGACCCTCTTCAGCGTCTAGGCGTAAGAGAGCTGCCGGTAGGTGTCTTTCTTGCGCTTGTACCCGATAACTCGAAGGAGCAATCGGTGGTGTATCGACCGCAGCGTCTGATAGTGGCCGCTGAGTGGTGACCATGTCATGCAGCCGTACAGCAGTGCCTCCATCGCCTCCGCCTGGAGTAGGCGGATCTTGAATCGCAATGGCGGTTTCGGTCTGTCGAAGAGCTCCGGGCCATTTCGCCTGAGGCACGCCCACGCTCCTCTGCTCCTGTAGTTGATCTCCTGGGTGAGGTCGCCATGTTTGTTGACGAGGCCACCGAGTAACCGGAACTCGGTCGTCTGGGCGTTTATCTGTCCCGCGGCTTCGATGGTCAGCGGTGGAGGCAGGGGGGGCTGCGATGTTGTAGTCGGCTTGTCCTTCGCGCGCATCAGGAGCGTCTCCGTCTTCTTCTCCGACACCGTTAGCCCGAACTCCCCGAACACCTCAACGATGATGGTCATCATTCTCGCCAGTCCTTCTGCAGACCTCGATACGACGCCGGCATCATCGGCATTCAGCATCCCCCATACTGCCCTCCGTACTCGGTTAAGGTATATCTCCTCGCCCCCCCTGCTCCCCCCCCCGGTGTTTGCCATCGGGGTTGGGTTTTCGTCGCTTGGTATCGACGTTGTAAAACAAGCTGCCCCCCCCGGTGTTTGCCATCTGGGTTGGGTTTTCGTCGCTTGGCAACGACGTTGTAAAACAAGCCGCCCCCCCCGGTGTTTGCCATCGGGGTTGGGTTTTCGTCGCTTGGCAACGACGTTGTAAAACAAGCCGCCCCCCCCGGTGTTTGCCATCGGGATTGGGTTTTCGTCGCTTGGCAACGACGTTGTAAAACAAGCCAATTCACTTCGTGAACTCGGCAACCAGGTTACCGTTTTTTTTTTTTTCCTCCGTTTTTTTTTTTTGGCGGTAACCATAATGGTGGTCGAGTAGATCATGTTGTGCGGGGTGGAGAACCCTCACTCCGCGCAAGGGGGATGATCGCACCACGTTGTGTTAAAATGGTCAAGCACCCTCGAGGCAGTTACACAGTGCTTACAACTGTCTCTGGAAGTGAAAGCACCAGAAAATAAATTAATTCATACGCAGCTGTCATCCGTACGCAAGGAAGTAAGCACAAGATGCCGAACACCCTTATCAGGATGCAGTGCACCCTTCCTGCGACTCGCCGAATATCTCACGGCGCTTCGCGCTTGGTGATGTGAGAGCCTGGTCCGGTGAGAACCCGGCGTGCTCCGTCCCGGCTTTGTAGGGATGCGAGGTCAATGGTCTAACGACTACGGCATGCACGACTACGAGTACACCCCCCCCCCTGCTTCCGTTTTCCCCTCCTCCAAGAACCCCAGGCTCCGCACAACAACATCATCCTCGCTGAATCGGATGACAACGACCTCGAGGACCTCGGCGAAGAATATGTTGAACAGCAGTGGGGATAGCTCATATCCTTGTCGCACGCCCTCACGAATAACCAGTCCGATAGTTCTCCGTCGTCCATGCGCATCCGGGCCCGCATTCCATCATGGAATTGGCGGATGACTTCGATCAGCTTCGCGGGAATCCCGGCCCTGGCCAGCACCTTCCATAGCATCTCTCGGTCCACCGAATCATACGCCTTGTTCAAGTCGACGAAGCACATGTAGAGCGGTATTTTCTTTCTCCGCCCCAGCTCCTGGAGGCGGCGCACGACGAACAGCATGTCGACGGTGGATCGCCCGGGTCGAAATCCGCACTGTTCCTCCGGGAGGATGTTGTTGGCTTCGCAGAAGGCGCTTAGACGGTTGGTGATGATCTTGATGGGGACCTTGCCTACGTGAGATATTAGCGAAATCCCTCTGTAGTTGTTACAGTTGGACCGGTCACCCTTCTTGTACAGCACCTTGATGGTTGAATCCTTGCACTCTCGCTAAATATTTCCTCCGTTCCACACCTTGACGAAGATGGTATGGAGGTGTCCCAGGACGAAGGGTTCGTCGTCATCGATCTTGAGCAACTCGGCAGGGAGGGAGTCATGGCCGGGTGCCTTCCAGTTCTTGAGGCCTTTCGTTGCCCGTGCCACCTCTTTGAGTTCTGGCACATCTCCCAACCGTTGAGTGTCACGTGTCG